CACATGTTCCTGTCATCCATCTCAACTGCACTAGCACCTATCTTTGAGCTCATCCCTGTGACTATAGGAGTGTGTGATAATTGTGTTTGGTGGAGTTTCCTTATGACTAATTGACAGAGGAGGAAAAATACTGAGTTTGGATTATTTGGGTTAAGTATCATGGTATGTTAGTAAAGGCTGAAAATGGATGGTGGCTATCTTAGAACTCCTCTCTGATGTGATCCTGGCATTACTAGTCAAGGGAATTCCATCCAATGGGCAGAGTTTTGAATGGTACACCTAGTTAGGTGCAGTTAGTTATCTATATGGCTACAGGTAAAAATATATATAGTACATTTAGGGTATGATGAATGTCATGTCTGGTTTTTAGGGAACTAGAAGAAAAAAGATTGGGCCAGACATGGTGGCTAATACCTGTAATCCCAGGACTTTGGAAGGCCAAGGCAGGTGGATCATTTGAGGTCAGGAACTCCAGATCAGCCTGGTCAACATGGTGAAACCAGTTCTCTACTAAAACTACAAAAAAAAAAAAAAAAAGAAAAAATTAGCCAGGCATGGTGGCATGTGCCTGTAGTCCCAGATACACAGGGGGCTGAGGCAAAAGAACTGCTTGAACATAGGAGGCGGAGGTTGCGGTGAGCTGAGATTGCACCACTGTACTCCAACCCGGGCAACACAGTGAAACTGTGTCTCAAAAAAAAAAAAAAAAAAAAAAAAAAAAGGAAAAGAAAAGAAAGAAAAGAAAAATGATTGGAAGATTGAAAACAAAGAGGTCTGGGAAAGAGTCGTGTGGATGGACCTATAAGAGTGAGAAGAAAGTCCAAAGATCTCTGTTGTACACATTAAAATCCATTATAGAACATTCACCATGGAAAAGGCAATGAACAAATAAGCAGACAGAATGACCTTGCTGGTTTATATTAACCAGCCTCCATCATTAGCTACCCCAGTGCTGGCAGGATGGACTCATGAACAAGGTGAACATAGCAGCAGAGATGGAGGCTATCTATGCCTAACAGCATGGTCTCTCCCCGCTCAGTGGCACCTGGCTACAACTGCATGTCCATCTTACTTGCAACAAAAGTTAATATTGAGTATTGATACGGTAACACATCATGAACGGACCAATCCCATCAGTGGCAAGTGATTCATCTTGACTAAAATTAACAAATATTCTGGTGTGGGTTTGCCTCTTCTGCTCACAGGACTCAGCTAGTACTATTATCCAAGAACATACAGAATCACTGATCCACTGACATAGGATCTGGCATAACTTCACATAGGTTCAAAGAAGGTGTAGCAGTGAGCACATGACCATGGGATCCACTGGTTCTATCACACGCTTAGCCACCAGGAACATGCTGGCCAGATAGAGCATAGCTTTGAAAGCATAGCTAAAGCGCCAACTTACATATGAAACCCTGAAACAATGGGGTGTCATCCTCCAGAGCAAAGTATAAACACCCTAAGACAATAATTATTATGTAGTGTTTGTTTCCTAGTATGCAAGTATACATGCCTGGGAACAAAGTATAAGTAGCTCTGAATTCCCTCACTCCTAGTGATCCACATAGGGAAAGATGTGCTTTCTATGTACCCTCTTGATTCTAGGCTCTGTGAGTCCAAAAGTCTTTGTTCCTAGGAGAACATTTTCACCATGACAAATACGGAGTCCCTGTAAACGGAAAGGTAGGGCTGCCACACAGATTTTTTCGCCTCCTTTTCTGACATCAGCAGACAAGAAGAGGAGTCACCACCCTGGCAGAAGTTGATAGTTCCAATATCAAGAGAAGGTAAGGCTGCTGTTACACAGTGGGGACAGGGAAAGTGAAGTTTGTCACTCATGTTATCCATTAGGTTGTCTCTTGCTTCTTGCTTCTCCTCAGTACAATCTTTTTTTTTTTTTTTTTTTAAGACTGAGTCTCACTCTGTGTCTCCCAGGCTGGAATGCAGTATGCAGTGGCATGATCTCGGCTCACTACAACCTCTGTCTCCCAGGTTCAAGCAATTCTCATGCCTCAGCCTCCTGAGTAGCTGGGATTACAGGCACCTGCCACCACGCCTGGCTAATTTTTGTGGTTTTAGTAGAGACGGGGTTTCACTGTGTTGTCCAGGCTAGTCTTGAACTCCTGACCTCAAATGATCCACCTGCCTCAGTCTCCCAAAGTGCTGGGATTATAGGTGTGAGCCATGGCACTCAGCCTCCTCGGTACAATCTTTATTATTAAATGGACAAGTGCAGCAGCCACAATCTGAGAGGAACATAGTTACCAGAGTGTTTTGGTCACCTACCAGGTAAACTACCTAAATGATCACAGATGATAGTAAAGGATGAGGGGAATCTAGAATGGATAGTAGAGGAGAGAGACAGTAAATATCCTTTATGACTTTAAGATACGCCACAACACTAGGAACTGCAAATCTTTTTACTAATCTATTCTTATACATTTCCTCAGGAAGAAAGGAAATTATAAATATTCCTCTGGAATAGTTATTTCCGTTTCTTACTATACCAAACAAACAGGAGAGTAGGTAGCTGATGTCTCTTAATTGAGTCTGTCTCTGGGAATTTTCCTTGGTCAAAAAGTTGCCTCACAGAAGGTTACATTCCTTCCACCTCATGCCCCTTACATCAAGGCAAAGCAATTCTTAAGGACTGTCCCATCCCTTGAGTTCCTGAGAGGATCAGCTGGAGCCTCTCTTGTAACTGCACCACAGTTCAACTACTCTGCCTAGCCCTATTTCTTTAACTTCTCTTGAGTGTTATTCCTGAAAGCACAACTCACTAAAATTCTTGCTTAAAAATCTCAGAGTAACCTTATCTCTGATACCCTCTATTGTTCACTCCACCTTAGCCAATCTGGCTCTCTTGCTGTTTCCTCTACCAGGAACACTCTTCCTTAGATATGCAGAGGGCTAACTCCTTCATCTCCTTCAGATCTTGGCCAAAATGTCACCAGACTTACACCATCTTATTTATATTGAAGTTGGCCCCCTCTCATGCCAGGACTTCTCATCTCTCTACCCTGATTTTCTTCTTTTTCTTCCTCTCCTTCCCCTTTTTAAAATCACAGTGCTTATCAACTTCCATTCCAGTTTATGTATTTATTTATTCTGCTTAATTCTTTTCTTTGTTTTTGTTTATTTTATTTATTTATTTATTTATTTATTTATTTTTGATTCAGTCTCCCTTGGAACATTAGCTGTATGAGAACAGGGGTCTTTACCTTTTATTGCCCTTGTTATATCCTGAGCATGTGAAACTATGTCTGGCCTAGACTAGTCAATTAACATTTTTGTTTATGTACAAGAGCTCCTACAGGGTAAGTCCTTTGAAGCTACTGGGCCAATGTGTGTATCATTTTCAGGTTTACCATATATTTCAACTTTACTATATAATTCAAAATTGCTTTTTCAGATGAGTGTACCAATTTATAGTCCCAGCAACTATGTATGACAGTCTCAAAATTTTCACATTCTTATCAGTGTTGGTATAAAATGATTTACAATTTGCCTTTATTTAATTGCTAATGATTAACTATATATGCTTATGTTTATTGGTCATTCAAGATTCCTCTCTGGGAATTGCCTGTGCATATTTTTTGCCTTTTTTTTTTTTTTTTTTTTTCTGCATGATTGTTGACTTTTTCTCTCTTACTTATTTGGAGATGTTCATTATATATTCAGTGGACTGATCCTTTGTTGACTGTATGTGTTGCAAATATCTTCTCCCAACCTTTTAATTTAACTGTCTTTTCCATTAGTTTCCAGTATCTTTTGATATAGTTTTAATTTTTAATGAGGTTAAATTTATTTATTGTTTTCCTTATAGTTTTTATGTTTGTGTAGTTTAAAAGAAATCTTGCTTTACTTGAGCTCATAAAAAATGATTCTATAGAAGCAAACTTGTGAATAGAAAAAAGAGCAATGATTCTAAATTTTCTTTTAAAAGTCTGAAAGTTTGCTTACTGGAATTGATTTTTTGTGCAACATATAAAGTACAAACCCAATTTTATTTTTTTTTCCATTTAGATATCCAAGTATTACAGTACTATTTGTCAAGTAGCTCCTTTCTTCCTCACCGATTTGTAATGCAATTTCCGTCATATAGCAAGCAGCCACACATACATGTTTGTTGCTCAGTCCTCAGTTCTGTTTCACTGGTCTATTTGTCTGTAGTTGTGCAAATACTATATTGTCTTAGCTGCTATAAATTTATAATAAATTATATAGGGCAAGTTTCTGTAGCTCCTTCATTTGTTTTAAAAATGTCTTGGATTCATCACTCTTTAATTATTCCATATAAATTTAAAATCAACTAGTCAAGTTCCACCGAGCATAATTGGAATCTTGATTTGCTTTGTACTGAATTTGTGTATTATTTTAGGAAGGAATTATATCTTTATGATATTGAGTTCTCATATATATAGACATGGTATATATTTCACATACTTATCCTTAATGAATAAAGTTTCTAATGTTTCCATTCAGGTATCTTTTGTGTTTCTTTGCTTCTGTGATAGCTGTCTTTTAAAAATTATATTTTTATAATTTTGATGAAGAATGTGATTGTGAACATGAATTTTAAAAAGTCCAGCCACCTTGCTAAACTCTCTTATTAATCATCATAATTTGAGTGTTAGATTATCTTGGATTTTCTATGTAAACCACGCAGCATACTCCTTAAAATTCATGTATTTAGAATTCATATTTTAATTAGGCAATGCAATCAACTCTAAAATTAAAAGTACATTTAAAACACGTACCCTAACACTTTCCTTCTCACTCTTGTCCCCCTTTTCACTCAGTTTCTGACCGTTCACCTCTCATAGGTAACCACCATTATTAATTTTCCGATTTATTTTTCCAGGGCTTCTTTGTGCCACACAGGCAAGCATAGTTTAGATTCTTTTTACTCTCTTCTATTCGCAAATACAGCAAATTATGGAAAGAGTTCTGAACCTTGCCTTTCTCCCTTAGTTATAGCTGGAAAAATAAAAAATCAAAAGCCTCTTTAATAGCAAAAGGGGAGGGGAAACGAGGTGTCGAGCTAGCAAACGACAGAGTCTGTCAGGGAGGTGGCTAGAGAGGCCCGGAAGTGGCTTCTGTGCCCCGCCTTGCGGGTGGTTTGCTAGTTTCGAGCACTTTGTGAGTATGGGGTGAGTAGCGGACGCCAGTTGGGCGTCCGCCTTCCACTGTGGGGTTAAATCTCATCCCGCGGTTCTCCTCCTGTCGGTCCTGCAGTTTTTTTGTCCCCTGGTAGAGGTGCGTTTGCAGGGGGGTGTATGTGTGTGTGTGTGAATTTGTGGAGAGAGGCCGTTCCCTCCCCAGTTCCTGCTGCCTCGGCTCCCAAGGAAGGAGACCCCTGCGAGAAGCCGTGGGGGAGGGAAGGGCGCTCTGCGTCTGAACGAAGTGGTGCTCGGCGTTCCCTCGTAGAGCCCAATATGAGTGTCCCTTGTTTAGAGCCGTTACCGAGTGTCTGGGTCGGTTCTTGAGGGTATCTGGAGACGGGATGCATGGGTCACATAGACAAGCCTCGAAAATGGGAGCCGTTACATTTTTGCACTGCCTGGTAACAAGGTCAGTTTCAAGGTCTTTAAATTATTCTGTGGTACTGGCCAAGAGCCAGAACGTTGGAGTCAGATTACCTGATTCGAATCCTGCCTTTGCCACTTACTGGCTGTGTGACTTTTCACTAGTTCCTAACCTCTCTCTGCTTCATTTTACTATTTGGCAAAATGGGGATAATATTCCCTAACTCACTGGGTTGTTGTGAGGACTGAATGCATTAATATGTGTAAGGTGCAGAGTAAGCATGATTTAAAGATTTGCTTTTATTAGTAGTACTATTATTATTTATAACTATGATGACACATTATCTTTAATTACTGGCTTTTGTACGGTTGCTTTCAATTTTAGTGTCATTCATCAATTCATCAACTTTGTAATGGATTATTTCTATATTTTAGGAGGGAAAAATAAGATACTCTGAAAAAGAGCCTATCCTGAAGCAAAGACCAAAACTGGTTTGTGTTGTACGTTGTGATACTCAAACTCCCAAAGGCTTTAAGATTCGGGGGTACCTTTTCCTTGGCTGGAGATTAGGAGGAACAATAGAAGTTTTTAATAGTGGAAAAGGATGAGGACCCCTGGTTTTAGCAAAAATCTGATGTCCTGCTTAGTGCTGGAGATGCACCAGTTTTTGAGCTTCCAGGAACGCCCTAGCCTGAAACTGGGTTCATACTAACACCCTTCATTTCAACCCAACTTCGACAGGGTTAACTCTCTTTTCTAGACTTGTAACTCTTTTCTGTTAATGAGAAACTTTCCTTTCCTTATCGTCAGTATATTTACTGATTTGATAAATAATTTGTGTTTGCAACCAATTTCCCAATCTTGTGCCTTCCCACTGTGATCAGTTTGGCTCAGATCCAAGTAGGGTCCAGGTAGTGAAACCTAAATGGAGTTTGTGGAATAAATGATATAAATGTATCAGTGTTGTTTTCCTGCCATAGACTTCCTCCCTTTCCCACCGTGGACACCCTCCTCATTCCACTTGGGCTCCAGATTCACTCTGGGTTGGGCTATGGCTCTCTCTTGCCTCCTTTGACCCTACCTTAATGCTTTTTGACTGTATTATTCAGGAAGGAAGGAAGTTAGGACTTCGTTCAATTTTCTAAAATTTTGGAGAGAAATTTAAACACATTTAATTGTAGAGAGAATGTTACAGTGAACACCAATATAACCATGACTTGGCTTCAGCCATCATCTTCTGGTCATTTTCTTTCTTCTTTTCCCTCCTTTCCCCTCTCTTTCCTTCCCTTCTCCTCCTCCTTCCCTTCTGTCTTCCTCCTTCCCTTTTACTTGTTCCCTCTTTCCCTCTCTCCTTTTTTTCCCTCTCCCTCCTTTGTCTTCCTTTCCCTCCCTCCCTCCCCCCCTCTTTCTTTATTTCTTTTTTTTTTCCTCATTACATCCCTCCTCTCTTTCATTTTATAACAAATTGCAGATGGAAACATTTTAATTCACTCACAAGTACTTCAGTGTCAATTTCTTATATATAAGGACTTTTATCTTGATATAATCATAGTATCATCACACGCAACAAAATTGACAGTAATTCCTTGATATCATTTGCTTTCTTCTCCAAAAAGTCTCAGAAATTTTTTTTCCACTTTTTTTTTTTTTTTTTTTTTACAGTCTGTTTACAGTTGTTTTCAGTGGGGTCAAATATGCATTTATTTGATATTTATTTATTTGAAATTTGCATTTATTTGATAAGTCTGTTCAGTCTCCTAATCTATGACTGTTCCCATTCCCTCCCACTCCTTTTGGTAAAAATACCATTTATTTGTTGAGGAACTTGAGCCTTCTGTTTTATAAAATGCCTCACATTCTGGATTTGGTCGATTGCTTCTTTTTAGTATCTTTAACTTATTAGATCTCAAACTCAGCTGCACATTAGAATCACCTAGAAAGTTTTAAAAGTTATTGATGCTGAGTCCCACCCCCAGAGAGTGATTTAATTGATTTTTTTTTTCATTGCTATCTCCACCTCCCAGGCTCAAGTGATTGTCATGCCACAGCCTCCCAAGTAGCTGGGATTACAGGTGTGTACCACCACGCCCAGCTAATTTTTGTATTTTCAGTAGAGACAGGGTTTCGTCATATTGGCCAGACTGTTCTTGAACTCCTGACTCCAGGCAATCTGCCTCAGCCTCCCAAAGTGCTGGGATTACAGGTGTGAGCCACTGCACCCAGCCTGATTGATCTTGATTGTACCCAAGGCATTAGGAGTTTTAAAAGTTCCCTAGTGATTCTAATATGTAACAAAGTTTGAAAGCCTTTAATATAATTTTTTCCTATATTTTGCCTGTACACTGGTATTTGGATCTAAAGACTAGATTAGATTTAGGGTCACTTATTTTGGTATTATTAGCTCATGTAGCAGTGCCCCAGATCTCTTGTGGCAGCTTATTAGGAGGAAGTGTTTTCTGGTACTTTTCATTTGTAACAATGGGTTCTCTCAGTTTCCTAATTTCCTTCTATTCTCTTCCATCCTTTGAACTATAGAGAGTTGGCCTGAGGAATAGAGGTTCAGGATACAGATTTGGAATTGTTTTTCCCTTTGTAACCTCTACCAGCCTTACTTTTTTTTTTTGAGACGGTCTTGCTCTGTTGCCAGGCTGGAGTGCAATGGCACGATCTCGGCTCACTGCAACCTCTGCCTCCCAGGTTCAAACGATTCTGCTGCCTCAGCCTCCCAAGTAGCTGGGACAACAGGTGCCTGCCACCACGCATGCCCAGCTAATTTTTGTATTTTTAGTGGAGACGGGGTTTCACCATGTTGGCCAGGATGGTCTCAATCTCTTGACCTTGTGATGCGCCCGCCTCGGCCTCGCAAAGTGTTGGGATTACAGGCGTGAGCCACCGCGCCCGGCCCAGCCTTACATTTTCTAGCCTCTCCGTTCCACTGAGTAAAGACAGACTTACTGACATCTGAGTCCAGTCAAATAATTTTGCAGTCACTCACTTCTAGTTTAAACTCTAGTCCCAGCTGGTTCACAGGAATCTCAGGTTTCCCTTCCCTCTTAGATCAGGCCCAGGTCTCATGGCTTCTGGGATAGGCTGTCTTTCAGAATATCTTACTTTTCCCTCCTAAAATATAGAAATCATCCCTTACAAAGTAATGACTCTGAGGAAACCTGGTGGCTGGTGCTATTGTTTCTAGAGAATACCATACTGAGGAAGGAGTAGATTAGGAAGCAAGAAAATCAGTTTGATTTGGGGCATATTGAATTGGATTTGTTTGCAAGATTTCCATATAGGACTATCTGGGAGGCAGTTCAGGATAGGGATCAGGAGTCTACAGCCTAGAAATAAAAGTTAAAACCTTGCAAGTGATTAAACATAGTTCTGGGGAAGACTGGATAGAGAAAAGAAAAGGTCAAGAACAGAACCACCAGGCCTACTCTTATTTAAAAAAAGAAAGACCAGTGAATTATACTATTAGCCAATATGTATATGGTACTTACCACTGTCATGCCAAGTGTCAGGTTCCAGCCCATACTGAGGTCCGAGGGGAGTTGTTGGATAGGTGGCAGATAGTTGAAAGAACACTTGGGGCTGTAGACAGGTAAAATATGATTTTAGTCAGCAGCAGCTGCTGCAGCTCTCACACTATCTGCCTCTGTCTCGGGTGCCTCCTCCGACCACAGCCCTTCTCAGCAACCGGCTCTGTGGCTTCTGCCGCTCCCACACTTACAGCTGTACTCCTTGGCACACTTGTTAATTCCTGGCTCCCCTCTGTCGGTCTGCAAGACGGCCAGTTCTCTCTTCCAAGGTCAGTAGTTTTTCCCTCTCTCTCTGGGCATGAGTCCTATGTACAGTGTCAGCAGGGCAGTTATACCATTTACACACAATAGTGGCTGTGAGCCAAGTATGAGCTTACACAAACAGGTTATATAACAAGTGGAGTGGTGCGCCTGCGTTCGAGACTCGCTGAGTCACACTGGCCTGCATATCTGCCTCAGCCTGTTCTTGACCAAAGCACATCCATTTTTACCTTACACTCCACCCCCTTGGCCGAGGGAGACATAAGTTTTTAGGTACACAGGCCCAATATATAGGTTTGGCACACAGGCCTGACATATACACTTTCGGCACCCAGGGTTGATACATACACACAGGCTTGACACGTAAGTCTGACACATAGGCTCTGGGCACACAGGCCCAGTGTATACATAGAGGCTTGACACATAAGCTGTAGGCACTCGGGCCACAGTAGTAATACAGGGAGCAATAATTTCAGGTTATAGTAGGCAACCACCCCATGGTGATGTTACCCCGATGTTGCTTTATATATTAAGCCAGGTTTTTTGCTTCCCTACCTTTAGGGGCATTGGGGCAGGCAACAACAGGTTACCGTTTGTCCCCATACCTGGTTAGAGGAAGTCATCCTTTCTCCCATAGGTCTGGCCACATGGCCTGGCCCTACATGGGTCAGTGACTAACCACTTCTGTAACTTCTGGTTAAGCCTTGATAAACTGCCCAGCTATTGATGCAGATTACCATAGGTGTCACCTTCTTGGTGATCATCATTTACATTGCCCTGAGTTCAGCTTATTAGCTACTTTGTCCACACCTGGTATCAAACCGTAGGGTGTCAGTACTAGGCTGGGCTTCAACAGCAGTCCAGGCAGCAGTAGCACCCTGGCTAGACCTATCTGTGTACCACGCCCTATTGGGAATGCGGGGATGCCCTTCCTTAAAAGATGAAGGCTCAGGGTCTAGGGGTGCCTCAGGTCCCATAGCCTTATCTTGCATTAGGATAGTAGGTACTAAGACTTCTTGTAATTGTGCTGCTAAGGGACTTGACTTAGCATACTTTGCTGTTCCAAGTAGGCTTAGGCACCCCACTTTGCACAAGTGGATGTCTGTGCCATCCCAGTGTGTGGGTTGTTACCTATGAGCATACCTACCCTACTGTTGGGTAAGTCATGCGCACAACGACTGTAGCCTGTCCTGCCAGGCTGTCATGAGTCTAAAGGGCAGCATATGCAGTTACTAACTCCTGTGTCGAGGAATACCGGAGCTCAGCTCCCTTTCAAAGTTGGGACGAAAAGTCTACTGGCATTCTAAAGAGCTCTGTGCGATGCCATAAGCCCCAGTCAAAAATATCTGTGGTCACATGCACATCAAGTTTAAATGGGTGCCCCTGATCAGCTACCCGTAGGGCTTGTGCCTGCTGAATAGCCTGTTTGGCTGCCAGGAAGGTGGTTTCAGCCACATCATCCCAATTCCAGGCAAGAGGCTGCGTTGCTGCTTCTAAATCTGCAAGAGAATCAGAGGTTAATATAATAACATCTTTAATAAGATAATGACATATGTTGGGGCTATGCATATATCCCTGCAGCAACACTGTGAAAGTCCATCCTCACCCTCCCATGAAGGCAAAGTGTTCCTGGCTCTCTGGAGCAATGTCCATTAAGAGGAATGCATTGGCCAAGTCCACCACACAGTGGCACCATCCCAGTTCTGTTGTCAGGTGGTCTATCAAATCCATGATAGATGGCACAGCTGCCAAGCTGTGCAAAACATCCACCCCAGCCTGTCCTCAGGCATGGGAGAGACATACACAGTGCATAAGTGGGGAGCCAAGCGGCTGATGCCAAGGTCCGAAGGTACAGGTTTCACTTTCACTGACCAACTTTCATAACTGTCAATAAATGCAGCTCTGCCCGGAAACTTATTCAGGTTTAGGGACCAGTAGATTGCCGAGTCCACATACGGCCTTTGGTTGTCTGGTGTCCCCCTAAGTCCGGCACCTTGGCCAGTTCCCAATCAAACAGGAAAGGCTTTACATTTCTGCCTGACTGCAGCAGGTAATCTTTGAGCTGGAACGCTTTGGCGGGACCGAATCGCCCAATAATGTCCTTTTCACGAATGACTTGCACAAGTCTGTATACGACTGCCATCTACTGACAGTTTCTGGTATTTCACTGGCATCAGTCCACACTGTAATTAAAGAAGCCAGCTTTTCCATCTCAGAGGCGGAGCAGGAAATGGATCAGCTCCTTTGTCCCAGAGAGAGAGAATTCAGGCAGGGAGGGGCTCCCCCAGATGCTACTGGCACTGCTTACCTAACTCCCGCAACTCAGTGGGGGTACAAACACTATATGAAATGTGCTTCACTATGGTAGGGGGTCTCTAGGCCCACTCTTGGGGCCCAGTGGCTGTTCATGCTCTATTTTCTGGCAGACCACTGGGTGAGCCTGTAATGGAGGTTCTTCCTCCTCCCTGCGTTGCGACCAGCAGAGACTGGGCATGCACTTCTTGCAGCACAGTCACAAATGCCCATCTGACTCTGTTGGCAAAGGCACACTCCACAGTGCTGTGCACTTCCAGGTGCTTCAGCTCCTTCTCCACATTCGTGGAGGGCCTGTCCAGTGTCGCCCATGTTTCCACCAGAGCCCATCCTCGCACCACGGCTGCCACTGGGTGCCACAGCTTATGCTGTGGCTGCATAGCCGGCCCGGGAGCCTGGGAGCTGGAGACCCACTCACCTCATCCTGCCCACTATGCCAAATGTCAGGTTCAAGCCTCAGCTGAGGTCTGAGGGGAGTAGGTGGATAGGGGGGCAGGGAGCTGGAAGAACACTGGAGAGACAGCAGGTAGATGGGACATGGCTTTACTCAGCAGCTCTTTCACAGTGTCAGTGCTGCATTTATACACCTCACAACAGTGTCTTAGAGCCAGGTGATGAGCCTCTCCAGGTTATGGCTACATAACTGTGATTATATAATGCACGGAATTGTGTGCCTGCGCTCCAATCCCACTGAGTCATGCAGGATGTTTACCTCGGCCTATGCCTGCCTGGCTGCAGCACAGCCATGTTCCTTATGTCCACGCACCAGGCACTGTTATACAGATGTTATACACTCACTTAATGCTTACAATGGCCCTATCTACTATCACTATCCCTATTACAGATAAGGAAAGGGAGGCACAGAGCTAGTAGGTAGTAAAACCAGGATGATGATGACGACCTCAGGAAACCTGGCTTCAGAACGCTTAACCAGATTATGGTGGGAGCTGAGAATAACCAGGAAGGAGGAAAGCAGGAGAAAGGAAGGTTCTTGAAACAAAGGACAAGTGAGTTTCTGGAAGTGGGCAGTATCCTCAGCCCAGTTGCCTGAGAAGAGGCCATGGAAAATGGGAATTGAGGGAAGTCTCTTTGGTTACTTCTGCAGGCAAAATCTTAGTGGTGTTGGCAATTTGCAGCCTACAGTGTGTGGAAGGCTTAGTAGGAGGTGAGGACTAGAATCAGGGACTGAGGGCTTTCTTTCAAGTTCAGTCTTGAAGGGGAAGAAAGAGAGTGGCAGACTGAGGAGGTGGCGAAGACCAGGGGCAGCCTGTGCTCTCTCCAGGGCAAGGGCTTGGTGATGTTTTCAGCTTCCTTGATGTTTCTGAGAGAAACTGAAGGGCCTCCAGCCCATAGATCAGAACCTGCAGAAACCCTACTTTCAGCTGAATTTTAATGTGAATATTTTGCCAGTTTTTTGGGCAAGTGTCACATCAGATATAACTGAGGGTCTCACTAGCAGGCAGCCAAGGTTTGTTAATTCAGTCCTATTTCTTTTGGTCCAGGGCCTTCTATCCTTCTTCTTCCCCTCACTGCAGTACCTTGACCACAGATAAGACCTGGTACAGCCATCCTTCACTATCTGTGGGGGATTCATTCCAGGATCCCCACTGATACCAAAAGTTGTGGATGCTCAAGACTTACATAAAATGGCATTTGGTATTTGCCTATAACCTACACATATCCTCCTGTATACTTTTTTTTTAAAGAGATGGAGTCTCTACACTGTTACCCAGGCTGGAGTACAGCAGCACAATCATAGCTTACTGCATCCTTGAACTCCTGGGCTCTCAGGTGATCCTCCTGCCTCTTCCTCCTGAGTAGCTGGGACTGCAGTAGTGTGGCACCAGGCCCAGCTTCTCTTGTACACTTTAAATCATCTCTAGATTACTTATAAACCAAATACAATATAAATGCTTTGTAAATCCTTCTTATATTGTATTTTTATTTGTATTTTTTAATTGTTGTTTTTATTTTTTTCCCAGATATTTTCCAGCTGTGGTTAATTGAACCTCTTGATGCAGAACCTACAGATATAGAATCAATTGTATTAGTTTTCTATTGCTGTATAACATTTACCTCAAATTTATCAGCTTAAAACAAAATCTGGGCTGGGTGCAGTGGCTCATGTCTTTAATCCCAGCACTTTGGGAGGCCAAGGCAGGCAGATCATTTGAGGTCAGGAGTTCAAGATCAGCCTGGTGAACATAGTGAAACCCCATCGCTACTAAAAATACAAAAATTAGCTGGGCATGGTGGTACACGCCTATAATCTGAGCTACTTGGGAGGCTGAAGCAGGAGAATCTTTTGAACATGGGAGGTGGAGGTTGCAGTGAGCTGAGATCATGCCACTGCGCTCCAGCCTGGGCAACAGGGCGAGACGCTGTCTCAAAATAAACAAGCAAAAAAAAAAAAAAAAAATTCAGCTTGTTTGTTCCAGTTCTCTAGGTCAGAAGGCCAGGCAGGCTCAGCTGAGTTCAGTATTAGGGTCTTCCCAGGCCAAAGCCAAAGAGTTGGTAGGGCTGGGCTCTTATCTGGAAGCTCTGAGAGGAATCTACTTATGAGGTCATTGAGGTTGTCGGTAGAATTCAGCTCCTTGGGATCAGTCCAGTCAGTCTGGACTTGCTATCTCATATTGAAAGTCCTGAGGATTAGGGCAGGAAATCGTTAGAGTCATCTTAGAATTTAGACAACCACAGACCTGGTTGTTAATGGGATAACTCTGAGCAAGTCACTGAGAGGAGCTTCCTAGAGAGACCAGGAAGTGCCCTGGATCCTCACCAATTTCAGGTTTTTTCCTGATTAGTCCGGGGCTTGGGGATGTCCAGGATCACCCCAGGACATCCTTTGGAACCTTACTGTGGGATTCAGGCTTGGGGTGGCGCAGAGGATTAAGCTGCAGAACCACTGAACATGGAGAAATTTCTGCAGCAGTTCCCCAGAGATGTCTCTGGGCTCCTGGGCAGGAGAGAAGGGACTACTTGCAAGTTTACTGGTTAATAATTATTTCCCACCTTTCAGGAATCTTCTGCAGAAATAGCGCTGGAAGCTAGAGTGAGGGCTGAGTACTGCCTTGGCCCAGGATGGCTAGAGAATTAAGTGAAAGCACAGCCCTGGATGCCCAGCCTACAGAAGACCAGATGGAGCTTCTGGTCATAAAGGTGGAGGAAGAAGAGGCCGGTTTTCCCAGTAGCCCAAATCTGGGCTCTGAGGGCTCCCGCGAGCGCTTCCGAGGCTTCCGCTACCCGGAGGCTGCAGGTCCCCGCGAGGCGCTGAGCCGGCTCCGAGAGCTCTGCCGACAGTGGCTGCAGCCTGAGATGCACAGCAAGGAGCAGATCCTGGAGCTGCTGGTGCTGGAGCAGTTCCTGACCATCCTGCCTGGGAAACTGCAGAGCTGGGTGCGGGAGCAGCATCCAGAGAGCGGGGAGGAGGTGGTGGTGCTGTTGGAGTATTTGGAGAGGCAGCTGGATGAGCCGGCGCTGCAGGTAGAAAGAACTTAGTATCTGAGCGCTGTGGTCTGTTTCCTCCTGAAATCTCAACATCGGAGTGAGGGGCATTCCTTTAAGATCCAGGAGTTCTCCATCTCTTTTTGTACCGTGAACCTCCTTGGCAGTAAGGTGAAGTCCCCGGACTCCTTCTCAGAATACTTTTTTTTAAAATACATAAACCATTAAGGGTTACAAAAGAACACAATCATACCAACATACAGTTAGAAAAGTATTAAATTTATATTAAAGTCATATATGTGTTTTTTTAAATTAGTACACTAAATAATAAGACCTAGGGACAGGGCTTATAACTGGCAATTACAAAGCAGTGATAAGTATCTATTTGCCTGGTTGTAATGTGATGTAAAAACATCTACAGTTTCTATTGGTGACAAAGTCCTGGGTACTGCTTATGCTACTTTCATTTGTTGCTTCCATTCATAATTGAAGGAAATACTAACTTTCTCTTAAAGACCAGTTAAAAATAAGATTAGTTTTTGTCCTGCTCAAGTTCACGGACTCCGTGGGAAGGAGTTCATGGACCACTGGTTATGAACCTATGGTAGAAAATGGGCCTGCTTTTACTTCCATGTTCTTCCCTGTTTTATGAGACTGTGTCCTCTTTGCATCATCCTGTGTCCCTGTGCACACACCCTCAGAGGACCTGTGTGGCCAGAGCCTTCTAAATGGTGAGCTGGATACCAAGGTTCTTGACTTGGGTCTATTGCACCCAAGCCCTGTAACAGTGGAAAGTCAGTGCAAGTCTCTTACCTTCATTCTTTATAAAGGATGTGGGAAATTCTGAGCTGCACATGAGAAAGTAACTTGAAAACTGTAATTTTATAATACTGTAAATGTCTGGAAGTAAACCTGCATTTAATGAGGACATATCATATGCCAGGCCATGTTAGGTGATTTCACATACTGTGATGTTATTTGGGTCCCCCAAATGCTGTAAACTAGAGATTGTAATCCCCTTTTCAGATAATAAAAGGTATCAATATTCTCTGAGAATTTTGCACCAGTTTCCAATGGGTTTTCATAAAACACAAATGTATATATGAAGTAGCATAGAGTAATGGTAAGAACATGTGCTCTGGCATCATTCTACCTGAGCTCCCATCCTAGCATTGCCATTTGTTAGCTGCTTAAACTGGCTATGCCTTCATTTCCCTATCAGTAAAATGAGTATAATAATACCTCCCTTATAAGATTGTTGTTTTCTGTGTTAAATGAGTTAACATTTATAATGATCTTGGAAATAGTGCCAGCCACCTAGGTAATTCTATGGAAGTGTTTGATGAATAAATGAAAATAAGAACAAATGATTTCTAGGTTTCAGGTGTTGACCAGGGGCAAGAACTGCTCTGTTGCAAGATGGCATTGTTGACACCAGCCCCAGAGTCACAAAGTAGCCAATTTCAGCTAATGAAGGCTCTGCTCAAGCATGAATCTCTGGGATGCCAGCCCTTACAAGACAGAGGTAAGGATTATTTTCTAGGCAGTATGAATTCTGCAGACTTCATCCAATTTCATTTAAGGATAGCCAACAAAATTCATTGATAGGTGGTGTATATGCCCATGACAGATCAACTCTCATTTAAGACTGAGACTAAAAGGAGTATTTCCAACATAATGATGGAAAACTTTTTCGACCAAGACTGGACATAGTATATAAGATATTAGTAAAACTTAGGTTTGGAAAGAATTGGTTCTTGTTTGGATTTTGTTTTGTTGTGTTGGTTTTTGTTTTCTTGAGACAGGTCTTGCTGTTTCACCAAGGCTGGAGTGTAGTGGCACGATCTCAGCTCACTGCAGCATCCACCTCCTGGGCTCAAACAATCCTCTCACCTCAGCCTCCTGAGTAGCTGGGACTATAGGTGTGCACCACCATGCCTGGCTAATTTTTTAAAAAATTTTTTGTGGGTATGAAGTCTCACCATGTTGCCCAGGCTGGTCTCAAACTCTTGGGCTGAAGTGATCCTCTTGCCTCGGCCCCCCAAGGTGCTGGGATTATAGGTGTAAGCTACCACATTGTGTATACCAGCTACTTGTCTTTGTTCTTCTTTAACTTGTAATTATGGAGGCCTCCAGTGTGGTGGCCAGTTAGCTCTGGGGATGGAACTGTCAGTGAGACCGTTCTTGTTCCAGTGGAGTTTACATTTAAGTGGGGAAGATGGCAAATAAACACATTAATAATACAATTCGTATGACAGTGGGAAGTAAACAGAATTTGTAAAGCCAGCCAGCCAATCTCATAAATTATAGGACTATTGCAAATTAAAGGGTATAAATCTTCTAAATCCTGGGTCTGTTATTAAAGTAATATGAAATTCACTGCATAGGAAATGGCTGTATGTTCTGAGATGTCCTTTCATGTGTCTTAAACACATGTACAAGTTCCCAAGACACACATCACTGGGATGTTCTAGCCAACATGAGATCTTTATTTTTCAACAGAGGTTCTAGCCTAAACCACCTGTTTTGTGCCCCTTTAAAAATTTGCTTCCTGAAGTTATATGAGGAATATATATGCTTCCTGAAGTTATATAAGGAATAATAAGGAAACCTGAAGTTCTTTACTTTCCTATAAAGCCAGACCCTTACTCTACTTTTCATAGCCCAGCTTTGTCTGACTCCTCTTAGCTTTTCAAATCCAAAGTGAAAAGCACCTTAACAGCTACTAAGGACATACTCACCCAAAATCCGATTTTTCCTCCTATATCTAGCAAAATTCAAAGGATCTTCAAATGGAAAACTTTTTTATTTTTATGTTCTTTTTATTTCACAACTGCTAACAAGGATCCTGCCTTTTTGCATTGTTTTCATGTATCTGCAGAGCACAACAGGTATGTTTAGCTATAGGATTGCAGCGGGTAGGGACAAAGAATTTTGGAAAGGAGCACACTCTGTATAAACTTGTTTGGCGGGAATTTATTTATTTAGAGAGACAGGGTCTTAGTTTGTTGCCCAGGCTAGAGTGCAGTGGCCCAATCACAGCTCATTGCAGCTTCAGACTCCTGGGCTCAATCACGTGAGACAGGAATCTATTAATCCAGTTATTTAACTTAGATTCCACAAGGCAGGGAGGCTGAATGCCAGGGTACATCTCATACAGAACTTCTTTCCTTCTTAGTTCTCCAGGTCCCTGTGCTTGCCCATGGAGGGTGCTGCAGAGAAGATACAGTGGTAACTTCTAGGCTTACTCCAGAGTCCCAGGTGAGCTGGAGCCCCTATCCCTCCCCCAGTGCCCCTCACTACTGTTGAGCTTCCTGTGAAGACTCCTTACTCCCCATTCACCTATACTCCCATCCTAGATCCTCCATACAGATCTCAAATGGGATCTGCATTTTCTCATCTATCTTGAGGTTATCATTAACTTTATTTAGGTGCCCACTTAAGAGGCTTTTCCTGTTTATTACTAGCTCTTGACACGGATGGGGATTGGGGGTGCTTCCCAGATCTTCCCTACTCCACCAGTTTGGTCAGCCCCTTCTTCAGTGGGATTACCTATTGTTTTAGGGGTTGTTGAAAGTGGAAGATGTGGCCCTGACCGTCACCCCTGAATGGACACAGCAGGATTCATCTCAGGGGAATCTCTGTAGAGATGAAAAGCAGGAGAACCATGGCAGCCTGGTCTCCCTGGGTAAGACTAAAGGACACTAATTTCTGTTAAGGTTTCTTGGCATTCTTTGTGCATTAGAACCTGTTGAGTTGTTGGAAGCTGTTGAGCCCTATTGTGTTTGGATTCACAATCACCATTTCTGAAAACCTGTTACTGACTAGCTCCTTACTCCTTCTTTTTTGTTGTTGTTTTTGAGAGATAGGGTCTTGCTCAGTCACTCAGGATAGAGTGCAGTGGAACAATCATGGCTCACTGCAGCCTCAACTTTTTGGGTTAAAGTGATCCTCTCACCACAGCCTACCAAACCGCTGGGACTAAAGGCATGCACCACCACGCTTGGCTAATTTTTTAATTTTTATTTTTTGTCGAGATGGAATTTTGCCATGTTGCCCAGGCTGGTCTCAAACTCCAGGGCTCAAGCAATCTTCCTGCCTTGGCCCCTCAAAATGCTGGAATTACAGGCATGAGCATGAGCTACTACACCCAGCCTGCTTATCCCTTCTGACCTTGCTTTCTCCTCTCCCTGCCAGTATTCTAGTTGAGTTAAATGGGTTGAAGACAATACAGTCCCAAGTACAGGTTTGCCTCATAGGAGATGCCCAGTAAATGATGATATACTCCTTCCTGATCCTATCCCTGACTGAAGAGGAAAGTTGGCGGGCCTCTTTAGAAAATGGGCCTTGGGACCATAGGTTGTGAGAGTTAGAAGTGTTCTTAGACATTGACTATAGACCCTGACCTCAGAGATGAGGGTGCAGAGGCTGAGAAGACTGCCTGACTTGTCTGAGGCCACGTAGCTCGTTGGTGGCATAAAATTCATAGCACTGAATCCAGTTCTGTTTGGGGACCCTGCCTCTGCCTGGGATATGAGCCGAGACAACTGTCTTTATTGTTTCATTGATCAGTGCCCAATTTCGGAGTCTCCACTTTCACTGTTTCATTTCTTTCTTTCTTTTTTTTGTTTTTTTTTTTGAGATTGAGTCTCACTCTGTCACCCAGGCTGGAGTGCAGTGGTGCAATCTTGGCTCACTGCATCCTGTACCTCTCATATTCAAGCTATTCTCCTGCTTCAGCCTCCTGACTAGCTGGGCTTATAGGCACCCACCACCATGCCTGGCTAATTTTTGTTTTTTTAATAGAGATGGGGTTTCACCATATTGACCAGGCTGGTTTTGAACTCCTGACCTCAAGTGATCTGCCAGCCTCAGCCTCCCAATCGCTGTTTCTCAAAGGTATTTCAGAAATCCTTCCACTTGCTCCATTTAATGTCACTTTCTGTTCAACTCTTTTAGTATCTAATCCTAGATGCATGGCCCTGCCTTATTATTCTTAGAACTTAGAACAACCGCATATATCCCCAGCATAGTCCTGGATCCTCACCATCTTCCACCCACTCCCTCTACTCCCAGTGTGTACCTTTCCAATGGCCCCATTCCCATTCTTAGGTCTCCCTCCTCCCCAGCACTCCTGTTCTCCCCTTTTATTCCCATTCTTATTCTAGCACTTAAATCCTCATCCCAGGCATTTATAGACCTCTGTAATCCTTGCCTCCCTGGTACTCATCACAGAGCTTTCCTTCCATGGCAGGGCATAACCCACAATTGCCGGTTATTTGTTATTTCAGGTGGTGAAAAACAGACTAAGGGCAGGGACTTGCCTCCAGCTGAGAAGCTTCAAGAAAAGGAGCATGGGAAGATATTGTGCCACCTGAGGGAAGACATTGTCCAGATTCCTACATGTGCAGAAGCTGGTGAACAGGAGGGCAGGTTACAAAGAAAGCAGAAAAATGCCACGGGAGGGAGGCGGCACATCTGCCATGAATGTGGAAAGAGTTTTGCTCAAAGCTCAGGCCTGAGTAAACACAGGAGAATCCACACTGGTGAGAAACCCTACGAATGTGAGGAGTGTGGCAAGGCCTTCATTGGGAGCTCTGCCCTCGTCATTCATCAGAGAGTCCACACTGGTGAGAAGCCATATGAGTGTGAAGAATGTGGTAAGGCCTTCAGTCACAGCTCAGACCTTATCAAGCACCAGAGAACCCACACTGGGGAGAAGCCCTATGAGTGTGATGACTGTGGGAAGACCTTCAGCCAGAGCTGCAGCCTCCTTGAACATCACAGAATCCACACTGGGGAGAAGCCATATCAGTGCAGTATGTGTGGCAAAGCCTTTAGGCGAAGTTCACATCTCCTGAGACATCAGAGGATCCATACTGGGGATAAAAATGTTCAGGAACCTGAGCAGGGAGAGGCCTGGAAAAGTAGGATGGAAAGCCAGTTGGAAAATGTTGAAACTCCCATGTCTTATAAATGTAATGAGTGTGAAAGAAGTTTCACTCAGAATACAGGCCTCATTGAACATCAAAAAATCCACACTGGTGAGAAACCCTATCAGTGTAATGCATGTGGAAAAGCCTTCACCCGAATTTCATACCTTGTTCAACATCAGAGAAGCCACGTAGGGAGAAACATCCTATCACAGTGACCCATGCCATACATGCCAGAATTGGTGCTCATTTGTCACTGATCTGAAGCCACTCCCCCTGGAGTCTCGACTACAGGAATTGTGGGCTGGGCTTTATTTACCACTACACATTATCAGGTGTTAGAAAATATAGACTGGGTTAGACAAATTATCTTCCAAGTTCTAGAAGGTGTTTGGAATCAAAACATATTTGATAGGAGGCTATGGGAGAGTTGTCTAGAATAGGTAAGACCTGAAATGGTTTGTTCTCTCCCATTGGAATTAAATGGATGTTTTGACTGGCTATTTGCCCTAAACCAGCACTTTGTGGTGTCTGTTGGGTGGATGGTTGTGATTTGGGGGCTGCTTCTCTGACCATTCTTTTTGACTGTAATGAATCCTCCACAGTTGGTCAGATTCACAAAGTCTTACATCCCCCTCTGTGCCTTTTCCACAGGTGCTAATAAATGTTTATTGAATGTACCAGTGAGATTACCTTCATAGATCTGAAAATCTGATGTTATCCAGGTTTCTGAAGAACTTCTCGCCAAGGCCATTTGTGCTTGTGTCCAATTCTCTGACCTAGATTGTGACTCAATCTAGTGCATTTCTTACCAAGTACATAGGCAGAGCAGAGGTGATGGCAGGATTACTGTGATTGAAAGAATCCATTTTTGTTTTTTTTTTGTTTTTGAGACAGAGTCTTGCTCTGTCGCCCAGTCTGGAGTGCAGTGGCACGATCTCAGTTCACTACAACCTCCGCCTCTGGGTTCAAGCGATTCTCCTGCCTCAGCCTCCTGAGTAGCCAGGACTACAGGCGTGTGCCACCACACCTGGCTAATTTTTTATATTTTTGGTAGAGACGGGGTTTCACCATGTTAGCCAGGATAGTCTCGATCTCCTGATCTCGTGATCCTCCTGCCTCAGCCTCCCAAAGTGTTGGCATTATAGGCATGAGCCACCATGCCCGGCCAAGAATCCATATTTCTTTACCAGACTAGGAATTCTATTCTAGTGCAAATGCCTTAAACAGCTTATCACTAAATCATTACGAATGTGTGCCATCCATGGAATTGCATTTTTTTTTTTTAATATGAGGTCTCACTGTGTTGCCCAGGCTGGTCTCGACATCCTGGGCAATCCTCTTGCCTCACCCTCTCAAAGCTCTGGAATTACAGGTGTGAGCCACCATGCCCAGCCCAAATTTCATTCTTTAATGTTTTCCTGTTGCTACTCTTTAAGAAAAAACTTACCTATTCAGACAGTGTGAAAATCAGTCATCAAGTCAGAATAAAATGATAAATATTCTAATGCTCCATATCTTAGTTCTCTCCATTTAGTTCTCTTGGGCCTAACCAATGCCTGCTAAAACAATAGACACTATCCTGCCCCACCCTACTACCCAGCATACACTGTATAGTAAACTGCATCAAAACTTATTCCTGCTAAGTTCATACTTTCTCCTGATGAATGGATTCACACCAAATATTTAAAACGAGTATCACTTATGGTTTCAGAACCCCATTATTAGTGTCTGACGTCTTGGTCTTCTTATACATTGATTCCCAAATCGCCTGTGTGGTAACAGCATCTCAGTTTTTCATGATGACTATTTTAACCATAAATTTAACTCCTCAGGCTATCTACTTTTTTGTTAAACACACTGTGTAGATCATCTTTTTTTTTCTTATCATGATAGTCAAAATTTTAGTCTTGTGAATTCACGTGAGAAAATGTTTAGTCAGCATTATACAAGTAGTATTTATTATGTATACATTCAGTGGAGTTGTTTCTACAAAAGTATTTTGGAATGACTATTCTGCTGCAAACTTTTGTGTTAAGTGCTTCACCTTATTCCTACAATAAGGAGAAGTGCACTAACAAAATGAACAATGCAGCAAGGGCTTCAGTTGCAGCTCAGGTCTTATCAAACACCAGAGAACCCATAATGGGAGAAACCTTATGAGTGTGACAACTGTGGAAAGACAGTTCCTTTTTTGTTAGTATCACTTCTCCTTATTGTAGAAATATGCTTTCATTGTTGGGTCTACTCACATTTCTCACTCGATTTCTGGCACCAGCAATCTCTTCCATATTTACAATATCAGTCAAAAACTCTGGAATTCAAACATAACAAGATTTTTCTGGTCACCTTTAATGGTTAATGACTTGGGCATTGTGATATATTATCTCCTGCTGTATTTTGTTTAGTAGAAATTGAATCATCATCCAAAATCCTTTATAGAAATATCCAAGTCCCTGTTTTTATGCTGGTTTCCAAGGCTTGGTCCTTCAAGGTTTTCAGGGATCTAGGGGACACAAATCTGACAAATCCTAGTGTAAATTATTTGTATTATAGTAATAAACCATATGGTTACTTCGTTTGAGTGGATTCTTAAATTGAGAAAAATGCATTGCATGATTTCTAAACTTCCTAAACATACATTAGGATTCTCCAAAGAAATAGAACTGATGGGATCTGTGTGTACATATGTATGTATGTGTATGCATATATATTTGTATTTATAATATTGGTTTATATATATATTATACACAATATATATGTGTTTGTATATATATTTTATTGGCAAGAATTGGTTCATATGATTATGGAGGCTGAGAAGTCCTAGGTTCTCCTATCTGCAAACTAGAGAACTAGCGCAGCCAGTGGCGTGAGCGCCAGTCCAAAGACCAGCAGGTTCAAGACCCAGGAAGAGCCAGTGTTCTAGTTTGAGTCTGAAGGCCAGAAAAGACTGATGTCCCAGTTCAAGATGGGCAGGAGGAATACCCCTTGAGGGAGCATCATCTTTTTTGTTTTCTTCCTGTCTTCAACTAATCAGATGGGGGCCACCCACATTAGTGGGGGCAGTCTGCCTTACCTAGTCCACTGATGCAATGATTCATCACATTCAAATTCAAACACTCAGAATAATGTTTGACCAAATATCTGGGCACCTTGTGGTTTGGTCAAGTTGACATATAAAACTGGCCATCACAATGCTATAGTTTCAACATTAAAACTACAGTATAGTATTACAGTTTCAGTAAAGCATTAAAACATTTAATCCGTGCTTCCCAATTTTGTGAATTCTTCCAATTGGCAGTAGGAGCCTGGGAAATAATGTTTGTAGCCTCCCTACCCCACTTACAGGTCAGGATAGGGAACGGCTGGTATGAGGCAGGCTGAGGGACAAGATAAACAACTAGATCACCATTGTATCCTCAGCATCTAGCAGAGTTCCTGATAAATGAATGATTCTGAAAATTGGCTGGTTCTACTTGTTCTTTTGTATTATTAACATAACATAAAATCTGCTGACACTGAGTGCCAGAGACCAAAGTATTCACATTCATATTTCCAGATATAAAAGTCTTCCCTTATTTCTAAAGAAATCATGTGTTTATAACCATTCATTCAGTAAACCTGATTGTGTTAGGTCAGGTGCTAAGGAATCAAAGATGAACAAGACATTATCTCTGCCCCCAAAGAACATAAGACCTAAATCATCTTCTGTCTTACAAGCTATTTTGTCCATTTCTGTTCTCACTTTTGTGCCGGCTTAATAGTTCTTCCTTCAGGGGAATGACTGCACCAATGGCTGCCCTGGCAACTTGCATCTCTTCATATGAGCCATATATACCAGGATTTAACACCAGCTGATCGAAGCCTTATAATTCACCTAGAACATGAGTGCATGGTAGGTTGTGTGAGGAGCTGATACAATGCCATTTCTCACACACTTCCCTACCTACCATGGAGGCTGTCCTGAGACAGTTTGCTCTGATGAGGAATGAGGCTTTCTACCTCTCCCTATTTAAGGTATAACTGCAAGCTATAAACTACTTATCTGCAGAACAACATCAGGTTCTCAGCAACAAAATGTTTCACCATATGTGTTGCAGTCACATGACCTCTTCTGATGCCATCTTGTGGGGAAAAGACATACAGAACTGAACTGTTTTAATCCAGAAAGGGCTTATTTCTTTTCTGATCAAATACAATCATGCACTGCATAATGACACTTCGCTCAATGATAATTTGGTCAATAACAGACCACATCTACAAAAGTGGTCCCATAAGATAATAATGACAGGCTAGGTGTGGTGGCTCATGTTTGTAATCCCAGCACTTTGGGAGGCCAAGGTGGGAGGATTTCTGAAGGCCATGAGTTTGAGACTAGCCTGGGAAACAGCCAGACTCCATCTCTAACAAATATAAAAGTTAGCTGGGTGTGGTGGCATGCACCTGTAGTCCTAGCTACTTGGGTGGCTGAGGTGGGAGAATTACTTGAGCCCAGGAATTCAAGGTTACAGTGAGCTATGATTGTGCCACTGCACTCCAGCCTAGGTGGCAAAGGAAAACATTGTCACACAAAAAAGATTATAATAATATTTTTACTGTACCTTTTCTATGTTTAGATACGCAAATACCATTGGGTTACAATTCAGTATGGTAACATGCTCTACAGGTTTGTAACCTAGGAGTAACAGCCTAAGTTTGTGTAAGTACACTCTGTGATGTTCACACAATGACAGAATTGTCTAATGATGCATTTCTCAAAACATAACCACTTTCATTAAGTGACACATGACTATATGCTAGCCTTTCCTTGACAAATTGGTGCCAAACACGGGGCTGGTAACATTACAATGCCCTTTCAGAAGAAAGACAGATGTGCTCCCACAGGACTGGATAGGACACACGATAAGATTTCTCAGGATCTGGTAGCACATGTTCTTGCCTAAGTGGTGGGCAAGAAGGAAGGAGTAAGAGTCTTCCCATTGTATTAATAGCTATACTGCGTTGGCTAGATTATAGGATGTGAATAGACTCCCCAGGACCCAGTATCATATGCCACCTGCTGATGAATGTTTAGAGGTTAAGTTACTTTAGGTAGGATTGAACCCAGTTGCCCAATGCCTTAGTTGTTATTAAAAGTTTGTTGCAGGCCAAGCATGGTAGCTCATGCCTGCAATCCCAACACTTTGGAAGGCCCACAGTGTATGGCTTGAGCCAAGGCGTTCAGGACCAGCCTGGGCAACACAACAAGACCTTGTCTCTACAAAAAATTTCAAGAATTAAAACAATTAGCTGGGCATGGTGGCACATGCCCGTGGTCTCAGCTACTCAGGAGGCTGAGGTGGGAGGATCCCTTGAGCCCAGGAAGTCAAGGCTGCAGTGAGCTGTGATGGTGACACTGCACTCCAGCCTAGGCGATAGAGCAAGACCCTGTCTCAAAAAAAAAAAAAAAAAAGGTTTGTCATGACTGACTGGATGATTTAAAAATGAAAGTGCAAATCTGTGCTTACCAGTGTGGAACAGGTCTTCTTGTGCTCCCTTGATTTCTCTCTGGCCTATATCCAAACCTCAGTTTTTTAAGGAAAGAAGATTCTCTGGTGATCCAGCTAACTCTGCATGATGGACTCCTCCACATTACTTGGCATGGCACTCTGTGAGCTCCCGGCCAACAGTCTATGTGCTCTCCTGACAGTTGCTGTTGTAACCTTTTACATGTCTGCACAAAACTTCTTTATCTGTTATTTTTTTTTCAAGTGTCTGCATTCAGCTGATAAGAGTTTGGGGAAAACTTGCAATGAAGAGAAAAAAGTTAAGCAACCTTGTGAGTGAGGGTACCTGGAAGATGTTATTCACTGGGGCATAAAATGGCCCAGTGAATGACACAAGTAGCTGCCCATTGTTGGGCACTCTTCAGCAAAATGTTTGTTCATGATTTTTGCCCATACCTAGTTAAATTGTTTGCTGTTTAACGGTTGAGATTTGGTGAATTGTTTTTATATTCTAGTTACAAGTCCTCTGTCAAAGACTTGTTTTGCAAACATTTTTCCCTATTTTTTTTTTTTTTTTTTTTTGGAGAAAAAGTTTCGCTTTTTCCCCAACCGGGGGGCAGAGGGCAGAGGTTGGCGCAAACGCAACCTCTGCCTCCCGGGTTCAAGCGATTCTCCTGCCTCAGCCTCCCAAGTAGCTGGGACTACAGGTGCGCACCACCACACCCAGCTAATTTTTGTATTTTTGTAGAGACGGGGTTTCACCATGTTGGCCAGGCTGGTCTTGATCTCCTGACCTCGTCATCCACCAGCCTCAGCCTCCTAAAGTGTTGGGATTACAAGTGTGAGCCACTGTCCCCAGCCATCTTTTCATCTTTTTAACAGGGTCTTTCAGAACATAAATTTTACATTTTGATAAATACTAAATCATAAACATTTCCTTTAATGAATTATGCTTTTGATGTCAATTTTAAGAATCTTTGCCTAGCCCTAGGCTCTGATGTTTCTAAGAGATCTAAAGTTTTAGGTATTATTTTAGCCCATGACCCATTTTGAGTTTGTTGTTGTTATTGTTTGGTTTACGGATGTTCAGTGCTCTATCAACATTGTCTGAAAAAGCTATCCTTCCTCCATCCAATGACTTCTGCACCTTTGTCAAGAATTAGGCATTTCTGTTTGGATCTATTTCTAGGTCCTCCATTAAACTATATGTCTATCCCTCTATAATATCCAACTCTCTTGATCACTGTAGGTTTATAGTATGCCTTGACATCAGGTATGGTGATTCTTCTCACTTTATTCTTTTTCAAAATTTAGTTATTAGTCCTTTGCTTTTCCATGCAAATTTTAGGATACATTTATATGTACAAAAATTTTTGCTGAGATTTTGATAGGATTTGTGTCAAACCTATAAACATAGGGAGAATCGACATCTTTACCATGTTGTATCTTCTAATCCACAAACATGTCTCTCCATTTATTCAGATTTCTTTCTTCAGAATTTTACCAGCATACAGATCCTGTAAATGTTTGTCAGACTTCTACATATTTCATTATCTTTGCAGTGATTACAAATGGCTTTGCATTTTAAATGTCAATGTCCAAATGTTCATTATTAGTACATAAAAATAGGATTGTTATTTGCATGTTGATTTTGTATCTTGCAATCTTGCTGAATTCATTTACTAGTTCTAGCTATATTTTGTACTAGATTCAAAATTGTAATAGATTATTTGGAATATTCTATGCACACAATTATTTAATCTGCAAAGAGGAGCAGGTTTGTCTCCAATTTGTATTTTGGTTTCTTTTGTGTGTGTACACAAAATCTACAAACAATCTGTATGCTTTTAATCATTTTTTACCTATTGCATTGGCTTGTATTTTCAATATTATGTTGAATAAGAGTGATGAGAGTGGACATTCTTGCCTTGATCCCAATGTTATGGTTAAAGCATAGTCTTTTACTGTTAAGTATGAAGTTATCTGTGAATGTTTTGTAGACATTCTTTATGAAGTGGGAAGTTTCTATTTCTAGTGGGCTGTAAGTTTCTGTCATGAATGGGTGTTGGATTTGTCAAATGCTTTTTCTGTGTCAATTGTATGGTTATACAGTATTTCTGTGTTTTTTATATATATATATGTTGATGTGATGAAATACAGTTTAATTTTTAAATATTGAAACAACCTTTTGTACTGGAAAAAAAATCCCCCTTAGTCAAATACCTGGATTCAATTTGCTAATATTTTGTTGAGAACTTTTGCATCTAAGTTCATGAAGGATACTAGATTGTAATTTTCTTTTTTCATGCTGCCTTTGTCTCCTTATGGTATCACAGTAATTCTAACCTTATAAAATGAGTTGGAACTTACACTTTTCTCTTCTATTTTCTGGAACAGATTTTGTAAAATTGGTGCTAATTCTTCTTCACATGTCTGGTAGAATTCTCCAATGAAGGCATCTGGGCCTGAAGATTTGGAAACTTTTAGATTATGAATTCAATTTCTTTAATGATTATAAGACTACTCAAACTATCTGTTTCATCTCGGCCACTTGGACTTTTTGAAGAAGAGGTTTATTTCTTCTAAGTTGTCAAAGTTATTAGTGAAATTTTCGAATCTACCTTTATGATCCTTCAAACGGATGCAGCATCCCTTGTCTCATTCCTGTTATTGGGGATTTGGTCTTTCTTTTTATCTTTGCCAGTCTTGCTAGAGGCTTACCTGTTTTATCGATTAAAATATTTTTTGTTTATTTTGACACAATGTAATTTTACATATTTATGGAGTACAATTTGACATTTTGATAAATATGTTGTATTAAGATCCAATCAGTGTAGTGTATCCATTTCATGCATTTATGACTTCTCTGTGGTAAGAATATTCAAAAGCCTCTATTCTTGCTATTTTGTAATATATAGTGTTTTACCATTAACCACAGTCACCCTACTGTGCAATAGAACCCCAGAGTTTATTCCTCCT